TTATGACTCTTATGAGTCGGTTTTTCATAGTGAATCAAAAACTCTCAGGGCAACCAGTGTAGTCTGCTTCGCAAACTAACGATTCTTATTAGTTGGTTCTTTGTAGTGAATCAAAAACTTGCAGGGCAATCAGTGTAGTCTGCTTCGCAATCTAACGATTCTTATTAGTTGGTTCTTTGTAGTGAATCAAAACATTCAGAGCAACCAGTGTCCAAAAGCTTAGGCAGCTGACTTGTTGCACAAGGGTACCTCACAAAACTCATTTCAGACTGACTTCTGAGGCAGCTTAACTCTTTATTGATTGAACAGAATAGAATTTTGTCTGTAAGTAAATATTTAATTACAACAATACAAATTTTTCACTAGAAATGACATACATTTACACAACAACTGAACCACAACTTTTAGATGTCTTTTTTTAATTTTATTTTTTTAGCTCAAACGCACAGGATTGTGGGATATCATAGGCAGCGAAGGATACATCTATGCTGCCTTCAAAAATTAATCAGATAAAGGTATGTCAGTAGACAGGATGTGACACGATCATTGAATTCCTACCTCCGTATGATGCCTGCATGCTATAATTCTTGAACAAATAACTCTAAAGACGTGGAGCTTTTATAGTGAATCAAAGAAATTCAGCACAACCAGTCTGATTCACAAACGAATGACTCATATGAGTTGATTCTTTGTAGTGAATCAAACACAGACTCTGACTCGTTGTTCATATGAAAGTGTGTACTTAAAGATACACATTGTGTTTTTTTGGTAATATTTAAAACAAAAACAAAGTGTGTTTAGTATTGTTGTTCAATGCATAATTAAAGCAAATTATTGGATTGTATTAATGCCAGCTCTAAAAAGGCAGCATAAAAAGTGTAAAATCACCTTTTGCAGGAACTGATTTAAACTCATTAATGAATTTATCTCATCATTTTGGAAGTTTCCCCAAATATTTATTCTTAAAAGGTATTAAAAGACTTGTTAATGGAAGTGTTAAGGAACCAGAACTGTGAAAAGGAATCAAAAAAGTAATCATGAAATTCTTTCCAGTTACCATCCTTAAACCCTATAGTTCACATTAAGAAGAAGCCTTTTGACCTTTGATGACGTCAACGCTTCTCTTCCCAACAATGTGTCACAATGATGTCACGCTGTCTGGAACAAGGTTAAGTTATCTGTTATCCAGAGGGCCATTTGGTCTAACCTGGTCATTCTTAATCTTCAAACCGCCTGCTACACTCTTAAAAATAAAGGTGCTTCACGATGCCATAGAAGAACATTTTTGTCTAAATGGTTCCATAAAGAACCTTTAACATCTGAAGAACCTTTCTGTTTCACAAAAGGTTCTTTGTGGCGAAATAAGGTTCTTCAGATTACAAAAAGGTAAGAAAGAGATGGTTCTTTAAAGAACCTTTGACTGAATGGTTCTTTGTGGAACCAAAAATGGTTCTTCTATGGCATCGCTTGAAGAACCTTTTGAAGCACCTTTATTTTTAAGAGTGTACCAGTTGAGTTGGGAGGTGTGAGTGGGTTGACCTGAGGTTTCTTTGCCAAGAGCTCGGCTGGATGGTCGGATCAAAGTGTATCTTTTTAATGATGGTAGTGGGGAGGGCAAGCAGGGAAACATAAGATAAATGAGATATCACCATGGCGAGCGCTCCAAGCCAGCAGGTGTTTCTGAGGCTATTTTTAGCTCCATTAGGGCAGCGAGCCCAATGCCTGTGACTCATTGTTGAAGCTCATTGGCTGACTCCATGAGTGCTGTAAGAACACAGGCTGCTCTTTGTAAAGAGCTCTCTCAAGTCAGAATTAATATTCCCCCCATCATTCCAGGATGCTTAGGGTCATCTGTTTGGCTCACTAGAGAGAGCCGCTCCTGTCGCTTCAAAGTCGCCTCTCTTCCGAGAAGTGCCGTCACGTCAACAAACCAAGGTGAATTTTTGCTAAACACCCAGAAGTTGGACCTCAAGTAGAGCTGACAGGCATAGCCGACGTGTATCAGTGTCGACAGAAACTGTGAGAGCTTGTGTGTGTGTATGTTTCTGTCTTATATAAGGGATGATATAATATCCATGGGTGCTCTCGGGGAGGAGACACCACACAGCGCAGCTCAATATCTGCAGGAAGAGGAGTCATTATGATGTCGCCAGCGTTGCCATGGCAGCCAGTTTGGGTGGTGGATTGGGTGTGGGTTTTGTCATAGTCTAAGATTGCACCACTTGCTTTTATGTTGCTATTTATAATCAGCGGTTGCGCATGCAGACATTTTTGATGATGGCGGAGAACATTATGTTCAACCAAACAAGCACACAAATGCTTTACCATTAATGTGTGAATTGCTGCGTGTGTCACTGTAAGTGCCTTGCTATGGCATCTCATTAGGGGAATATTCTAGGCTTAAGAGACACTGGTTCATGGATAGAATTCATGGTTTAAAGGCTTTTCCTCTGTGTGTGTGTGTGTGTGAGAATGGAACAGGTGGTGGTGCATTATGCCAATAACAAGCTTTCTGAGGATTTAAGTTACATAGCTAATGAATCTAGTCTCTTGCATCCAGTGTGTTTATTGAAATTCTATCTATCTATCTATCTATCTATCTATCTATCTATCTATCTATCTATCTATCTATCTATCTATCTATCTATCATCGTTCTGTCGTTCTATCATTCTATTGTTCTGTCATTTTGTCATTCCGTTGTTCTATGTATTGTTCAATCAAGACATTCTATCTATCCATCCATCCAGCCAGCCAGCCATCGTTCTGTCTGTCATTTTGTCTGTCGTTCACAATATAAGATATTTTGAAGATTGTTTCAACTTTTTTTATCCCCATAATGAAAATAGTAGGATCCCAAACAACAACTTCGGACCCCATTGACTTTCAGCTTGGACGAAAAAAAATGTGTCTTTTCAAAACGTTTTCTTTTGTGCTTGACATAAGAAATAGAGTGATACAGGTTTGGAACAACAAAAACATTTAATAGAAATGACATATTTATATATAATAAATTACGTTATTGATTCTGTTTATCAGTCATTAAGGCTATATACTAAAGTGCTCATTAAAAATTAGCCAACTAATCCATCATGCTGACTAAGAGGAAAAACCATTTGACATAATCATGTTTCCAGACACTTGCTTACTCAGTTAACCTTAAAGTGACTTGATTTCTGTGTGGGATTTTTTGCTGTTACATCATCCCCAATTGTAAAACAACCACTGTGTGATTTGCCTCAATGCGAAATTCGCTGGACCATAAGTATGTCCTGACCACCTGTTCTGTAAACTTCTTTGTCTTTCTTCTCCACACCCATAGATCATTCTGTACGTATACACTTTCCAAACGCCATGTCTTCGTAATTGCTTTTCGTCACGCAGAAGAGTCACAGTCTCTTATGATGAGCGTCTCCTCTTATCCGCTTTCCAAGGGACTGTCCTACAGGCTTGCTATTGATTTTCACTGTCTCTCGGATATATATATAGTTCTTGGGACCTTGGGGATGCCCTCTGCTTTAAAACAACCACTGTGTGATTTGCCTCAATGCGAAATTCACTGGACCATAAGTATATCCTGACCACCTGTTCTGTAAACTTCTTTGTCTTTCTTCTCCGCACCCATAGATCATTCTGTACGTATACACTTTCCAAACGCCATGTCTTCGTAATTGCTTTTCGTCACGCAGAAGAGTCACAGTCTCTTATGATGAGCGTCTCCTCTTATCCGCTTTCCAAGGGACTGTCCTACAGGCTTGCTATTGATTTTCACTGTCTCTCGGATATATATATAGTTCTTGGGACCTTGGGGATGCCCTCTGCTTTTTTGTACCCGGTGTATTACTTGTAATGAGGCACAGCTTGAAGACTACAGCAGCAATTTTCCATAATGGTGAAGGTGTGATGATGGCTCTAAGGAGGGAGGATGATAGGGGAATAAGAGGCAGGAACACAAACATCACAACTTTCTGAACAACAGACTGCAGCACTGCAGTCTCCATACTGACCAGAGAGGTCAGTCGAACACACTGGACCAAACCATGGCTAGTAATAACCTTCAGAATTGCTCATGGAATGCTGGCTGGGATTCTTATTTAGACACACTACTGCAGAGTTGTTTCTACTGTATCTCTGACTACTGTATCAGAGAAGCTCATACGGGGCCATACTTAGAAACTTTTGATGGGGGAGGTGTTCAGCGGAGGAGGGAAATGAGGACATTTTTTTTCTAGCATGTTGGAAGATTCAGCTTAAGACCTGCTCACACCAAGCTATAACTATAGTGTTAAACAATGTTTTAAAAAAAAAAAATGAACCAAACTATAATGATAATGACACAGGAACAATATTGTTAGAATCACTTTCATACCGATTTTTTTTAACAGCTGATTAACGATAAAAATGATAAAAACATTGAAAGCCAACTTGACTTTAAAACACATACGGCAATTATTTTCAAATTAATTTTAAAATAATAAAGTTTAAATGTAATGTCTCTAAAAGTGTCATGTGGTGTAACTATCAAGTAACAATAATAAAATAAAATAAATTCTCTTGCAATGAATACATGTGAATGAATAAATTGTCAAGGTAAAACATTTTTTATTTTTTTATTTTATTTTTATAAATATTCATGAAGTCATGAATGTCATTATGTTTTGGAGTAGTGAACACATTGCATTTTACACATGGTCTTGACATGTCATTTTCTGATATTGACCTTGTCATGAGTGTCTCCAGGGGTCCGGTATATGACATAACATTTTTTTTAACTATGCATGTTGGTTGTACCACATGACTTTGTTGGTTGCCCCGCATGACTTTGATTTGATGGACTCAAGTTTTTCAAATATTACCAATTTCAAAACCAAAGATATTCATATCCTCATATATGTATACCTGATCATTTAAATATCTCTGAATAATTAATAATAATAAACCATCAAAATGTAGCAAATACTTTTTTACTAAATCCTTCTATTCTCACTTCTTTATTTCTCAGTGGACATTAAACCAGAGGTTCCACTGGCTCTTGATCCGGGCTCCCCACTGGACCTACGTACAGACGTTAGGATGCAGAGCTCTGCTTCAGATCCCACTGTGTGGGAAAGACAACTCCAACAAGAGCTGCTCCTCATTCAGAAACAGCAGCAGATTCAGAAACAGTTACTCATTAGTGAGTTCCAGAAGCAGCACGAGAACCTGGTTCGCCAGCATCAGGCCCAGTTACAGGAGCATTTGAAGGTACCAACACAACCCTGTTGTCATACTGAGCTGACACAACACAGTCCAACTAGATGAATAAATGTATAATAAACATCTGCCTCTCAGTTGCAGCAAGAGCTACTTACTATGAAGCAACAACAGGAGCAGCTGGAGAAAGAGAGGAAACTAGAGCTCCAGAGTCAGGAGAGAGAACTGGAGAGAAATCGCCGTGAACAACATGTCCTGGTCCTCCGCAACAGAGAGAAGAGCAGAGAGAGTAAGAGCTCATCATCACACTCACCCACACAACAGTCAAACACTCCACAACCTGTCTGTACCTAATACCGTCCAAATGTCATCAGTCAAATCAAATGACACATTTATATGACGTCTGCCTCTTTTCCATGTTCACTTAAGAAGGTGTTGAACAACACAGGATGAAAGTTACCAAAAAAAAAAAAAAAGAAAAATCTGCATAAATAAAACAGCAGTTATTCGTTTTACAGCTTAATGAAACTGAAAAATGAAATAAAACAAATAATGAAGTATCTAATATTCAAATGTATTTTGTATGTATGTATATATATATATATATATATATTAGTGCTGTCAAACGAAATAATAATCCAATAATAATAACAATAATAGTCCTGTCGCATCCAAAATAAAAGTTATTGTTTACATAATGTATGTGTGTGTACTGTGTACATTTATTGTGTATATATAAATACATACACATACAGTATATATTTCAAAAATATTTACATGTATTTACATGTATATATTTTAGTGCTGTTAAATGATTAATCACGATTAATCGCATCCAAAATAAAAGTTGTTGTTTATATAATATATGTATGTG